TATATATATATATATATATATATATATATATATATATATATAAAATTATTATTATTTCATTTATTTTTTAAATTTATTTATTTATTTTTTTCAAATGGAAACCCTCAAATTTAAGGTTTTAAACTCTGGCTTTTAGCAATACTTTAATTAAAATATAAAAGGTGAACACTGATTTTCATTGCATTAGCTGTGAACTTCTACGTATTGACATCTTGCTTCAAAAATTACAAACTAATTACAACCCCCCATCACCAAAATAAATTTCTAGACAATTTATGCTTGTTCTACATTATGAAAACACAGTTGCAAGTTAAATACAGAATGTCTGCTTGTTTGTGCTATTAATTAAATGCAACTGAACCTTAAGAAACCACTTTTATCCATTAGGGGGAAATTTCCTATCACAAATTAGGGGGAAGGAAAAAAAAAGTTATTTTTATTTTGCCTGTTATTTTCTGCAAACTCACATGAACGATTAGGGAATGGTTTTATGCCAAATGCCCTTCCGGACACAACATGAGCTTGAACCACAAAAGTGGGGGTAAAATTAAATGTCTGGAAGTTTCATCCTGAAATACAACCTTAAGAGGTTATTTATTTATTTCCCAGATTTGTCAATATTTGATGTAGCTGCCACATTAATAGTTTGTGTTGCACAAATGAGCAGGTCTCATCAGGCCAGCTCAGGGGCATACTGACTGTAGGAGGCACTTTTTATAAAGGTTTCGGGAAGTACCATGTGCTGGTTTACCAACATGCTGTAATAATATCCTTGTGTGCACGTTGGCCCCAGGTATGAATGAGCTTACAAATAACAGATGTTCGAAGGAGCCTTTTGGCTGGACTCGCTGACATGATGAGCTGGCTCAGAGAACTGCCTCTTCATGGCTTTTAAACTGTCTGGATTTGAGATTAAGTTGAAACGATGGACGTTTTGACTGTAATGTTCCTCGATTAAACACTACCTCACATTGAAGAAAGTGGATCTGTTTGGTAGTCAAACAAAAACTTGAATTAGCTGTTTAAGGCTGCAAATATCCATCTGTTTGCATCGTTTCTTGCTGTGGGGCAAGCAGTTTTATCCTGGATGCACTATTTAAGGATAGTAAAAGAAGATCTTTAAGCAAATGTCTTTTTTTCAGGCAATTGAATTGGCAGAGCTAATGCAAGCTCACTCTACTGTTGAAACAAACGGTTGAGCATTTGGCAATGAGCTGCGATGGAAACGCCTGTAGAAGCTAAACAGAAGCCGTGACTAATGGGAGCACAGCAGCTCTTTGAAGCTACTGACAAAAGCTTTTAAGTGGTGCAGAGATGCATTAACGCTAACACTGGTTTGAATGTTATTTATTATTTGCTCTATTTATTGTGGGCTTGATTAGAGCTAATTGTCTGCATGACTTAGTTTGGCATGTTATTTCGCTTCAAACGGTTCTCTTGGAAAAAGAAAAAAAAAAAAAACTGAAAGAGGGAAAATGCAGACACTGCTTGATTAACAGAGCCTGAAATTTCAGCCTGGAGAGTTTGTATTACTAAGTCTAATTGAAGCAAGAACAAGTCCTTGTGAGGTAAAGTGGGATATGTAATGTCTGTGTCTTATCATTTTCATGTTGTCCTGGTAAACGCCAAAATTCTCCACTGAAGTTGAAAAGTACACATTAAATACCTGCGATAACGAATAACCTGCACTATAAAGCAGCAGTACAGGCCTTTGAATGAAATGACGTGAATCTCTCCTTCTGCTTCCAGATGCAGACACTGTTTGCCTTTGATGAGGAGGAAATGGAAATGAGGAACAAGGTGGTGGAAGATCTGAAGACGGCGCTTCGAACTCAGCCAATGAGGTCAGACAATCTGTTATTTTTCTTCTGCTACAAACGGCACAGAGCTCTTCTGTATGACTCAAAGTATTTCATTCTTACCAGTTGGCTTAGCGTAGTAATACCTCACAAACTAATTACAGCTAATAATGTACTATACTACTGGAAAGATCTGGTTTATAATAATTATCTCAAATCTATTTAATTACTTCCAACTGAAATGCAGCTAATTAAAGCTATTCTTAGACCAAATGTTTTACTTTTTCCTCTCTTGCTATGGTCATTGGCAGCTGTTAGGCTTTACTTGTCATCACAAAGAAACATTCAGACACTGGACATCCCAGTTAAACAAGCTGCCGCCTTCTTCCCGTCAGCAGCTTCTTTACAGCCGTCAATCAGCCACTCGTAAGATGCAGCGGTCTGAACCCAAGTGAGGCTGTTGAGTTTTCACAAGCGGAGATGCAAAGTGACATTGAATGTGCAGAGTGACAAAAACTCGGTGCAGCTTTGAAGTCTGGGTCATGTCTGGGTTGTGTGTTTGCGAGCCAACTGTGCATCTGTATCACTGTATTTGCGCTTCATTTTCCATAAGCTTGTTTTTTTCTAATAGTCATTTTTTTTTCACCACTTGTTTATTTAAAGCATAATGTGGTTAATGCACCTTGAAAAGAATATCTAATAACATAATATTTCTATTTGTTGCTGCTTTGTTTATTATAGTAATTATTTCTGTTCTTTAATTGGCCTGCAGGGCAGATTTTTCTAAGACTAATTAAAAGCAGCCATGCCGACGAGGCTGCCTGCTCTGCAGATGTTCATTCATTGTTTATTCACTAACCTAATAAAATCACAAATGCAGTAAAATAATCAGCCAGTGTCTTTGATCTTAAATTTTTTAATAATTAGCTAATTTTATCCTAACAACAATCTATTTTATCAGTTAGTTTTCTGTTCTGCTGATTGATGGATTCACTGTGTAGATATATACATTCTTCAGGTTTACTTGCAGCAAAAGTCACAAGAACTTCTTTATCAAAATCCAATTACTGGTACGTTGTTCTAAAAGAAATCCTGAAATTAGTAATTGCTATTTCATACTTTTGTTTGCATGTGAGGAAATTGTGAGATGGCTACATTGCAAGAAAATGAATGCATTCATAAGTGTCTGTTAGGACTTTACTTAGCCAAATACTTCATAAATTTAGTTATGCCTATGAAATAAATGAGAAAAGCAAACCAAAATATCAGAATACTAAAAAGGGATTCACATTTATTTATAACAATACTTTTGAAAGTATTTAAAAAAAAAAAAGTTCATTTGTTTTAGTTTGTTTTTGCCAGATGAGCATGGCCACTTAGTTTATTTCTGTTCTTTCTGGGAGTCCTGGTCGAGGTGCAGGAATGGATCATAGCTAAATGAAGAAAGAAACATGTAAAAACTGAACAGATGGAAACTATAAAAGCACAGTGTCTAGACAGAACAGGTGAAAGTTTAGTGCAACATTGTAAATTTGCTATAGTTTATGAAACAGGGAAGACAAAGGGAAGCATTTTCAATATTGTACATTGCGTTGCCACATTTTCTACATTCTTGTTTTGAAAGCTTCCAGGTAAAACCTTGAGTTTAGTTAAAGGGGTCTCCTTTACTGTCACCCATCCTCAAATAATTTCCTTTGTCAAACTATAACGGCTCAATCATCACTCTGCCATGACACACCTGCACCCGTGCTGCTCACCACAGAATGAGTTATGGCTCATTACCACACAGATGTTTTTCACTACTGTAAACTTGATGTGGGGAGCAGGTGTGTTCTGCAGAATATGGGTGTCCAGGGAAATCCAGGGCAGTATGTTAATGTCCTGCCTTTGTCAAATTTGAGACAAATGGGTGTCTAAGACAGAAAGATGGCTTTGAGCTTAAGCGTCTGGGAGAAATCTGAGCGTCTTACCGTCTTTATGGGTCATTTCTTTGCTCCTTGGTGGGTTTTCATGCTGATTTTATGCTCAAGTGTTGTGAGACACGGCAGTGTCTGTTCGTGTTGGAGTTTGATTCATTCCGGCCGGCCTGAAACGACCTCCTTTTCCTCTGGCACTCTTACAGAGACAGCTGGGCCTGGTTGTGAACAGGGGCCCTTGTTGCTCTCAGCTTGTTTTGCAGGGCCACAGGAGTCAAACGCATGGTGGGTATGCAGGGTGCCAGGCAGAGTAGACAAAAAGAGGACATTGTTGGTGAATCATTCACTGTGTTCACTTTCATTCAAACGGGTTGAATGAGAAGGTGACAGTTCTTTGTATGTTACTGTAAAAACAAAGTGATATGGAAACAGACTGCACGGCACAACATGTTTTTTTTATTTTAAAAACCTCTATTCATGCTTAACTTTTCATATAGATAGATAGATAGATAGATAGATAGATAGATAGATAGATAGATA